TAATTTGGCCCGTTTTTGATAAATCGCCAATTTGGTCGATAAATCTTCGCCTAGGACGTCCCTTTGCGACTCTGCCATTCACTTTTGCAACATAAATTTTCTTTGTCACTCTTTCCTTATTCATTCTTTCCACATGACCAAACCACCGAAGCATTCCTTTCTTAATCATGGTCACAGCATCATCTTGCAAACCACACTCTTCTCGTATCACACAATTTCTCACCCTGTCATTCAGATTCAGCCCTAACATACTCCTTAACAACCGCATTTCTACTGCGTTCATTCTACTCTCGTGCTTCTTCTGCCACACCCAACTTTCACTATCATACGTCGAAGTAGGGACCAACACAGCATTGTGAATTGCCATACGTGCCTTTTTCAACACATTTCGACATCACAATAGAGTGTAGGGCCCCATTTACTCTATTTCCTGCATTCACTCGTCGTTCTATATCCTTATCACATCTCCCATCCCTACTAAATATGCAACCCAGATATACAAACTCATCTACTTGCTCGACCAACTCCCCTTCTATTCTTATTTCACATATCGTCTTACTTTCTTCAGTTAGTAGTTAAAACAGTAATTTAAAATAACTGATTGTATTAAAAAGTTTACTCAAAAAAACCCTCCCCCATTTTTTAGTATTTGCAGATTCAATATATAATCAGCGTATGTCACTCCCACAAAACTTCAAAACTAAATTGTACAACCAGTGCGTGTTGCCAGTGATGACCTATGGATCTGAGACGTGGTCCTTCACTGCTGGCCGTATGAGGAAGCTCAAAGTCGCTCAGCGAGCTATGGAGAGGGCTATGCTCGGAGTTTCCCTGCGTGGTAAACTTAGAAATGAGGATATCCGCAGTAGAATCAAAGTCACCGACATAGCCCAACGGATTAGTAAGCTGAAGTGGCAATGGGCTGGCCATATAGCTCGAAGAACCGGCAACCGATGGGGAAAAAAGGTTCTCGCGAGGAAGCCTCGTACCGACGGGCGAAGTAAAGGGTGTCCCTAACACACGACCTGGTGAAACATGCAGGAAGTCGATGCATGCAGGTGGCTCAGGACCGTGGTTTGTGGCATTCCTTGGGAAGGCTGATGAATGATGATGATGATGATGTCACTCCTACAATTAAGTGGAATCTAACGACACCTCATATATTAAAATACATCAAGCCGTTTAGGCGACAGAGCGTGCCAAAGAAATACACACACAAACTCTCGAAAAACATTACCCCCTTTCTTGGACAGTCGGGTAGATACTTTTTTTTATAGGATAGGATGTCAAACGAGCACACAGTCCACCTGATGGTAAGTGGTTGCAGTGGCCCATAAACATCTACATTTATCCTCGATTACGAATCAAAATGCAGATGCGTTGTCATCCGTGAGAACTTAGATAAATGCCTCATTTCCAATAAAGAGGGTCTCCGGTTCTCTACACTCACCACATACGAAACACAGCAGCAGTAAGCTACTATTTGACGCCGGTATTCTGTGAGAGCGTGGTCCTTCACCGGTTGAGCCGACCCATTCGTGCTACAACTATACTACTAATATAACTGCAGCATGATTCTAACACGTTATAAAAATACTAAGGGTTGCCGAAATGGCAATTGTGTTGAATGAAATGCGTATTATATTTACGATCCGGCACATGGAGACCGTTTATACCTGCTTTTTTTTGCCTTCTTCCTAGCTCCCTGAGCGACTACCGCCGGTAGCCAGGCGTCCTTTATTTTGAAGGATGTCCTCTATTTCAGACCCACTAATTTATTTTGTCCCCCCATTTGAAATCTTCAATAAAAGACAAAGTACGCGTAGTCAACATTCCCTCTGCTAGTTGAGGTCAAAGAATTTAAAAATAATTTTGAGGTGACGCGCAATTTTAGAGACAAACTACGTCACATTGGATATTAACATTGTTTTTATATTAATAAATGTTGCTACTAGCATTACAGCATGTTATTGAAAACATTATAATGTCCTCTATTTTTAACCGACTTCAAAAGGAGGAGGTACTCAATTCAAATGTAGGATTTTTTATGTATTTTACCTCAGAACTTTTTTCTGGATGAACCGATTTTCATGAATCTTTTTTTATTTGAAAGCTGGTGCTACACATTCCCGTAAAAATTTGATCAAGATCTGATCAGTAGTTTGAGTCATCATTAATAATGCGTATTATATTAACTTCACAATCTTTTCAAGCGGTTTACAAATAATTTTACCACTTGTACTTATTATCCCAAGTACGTAATCTTAATCCCCGAAAACAGAGATGGCAATTCTAACCGCCGACAGGGCCTTACTTACTAGCCCTTGAGCTGGAACGTTTTTTTTCTATTCTTTTTTTCTTTTTCTGTTAAAAACCTTACCAAATACTAGGGTATTCTTCTGTATCATGGAGGCAGTTTACATACATAAATTGCACAGGACATACACCTCGGGAAGAATTACTTGAGGACTAATAATACAGTACAAGTGGTAAATTAAAAAAATGTAAAACCGACTTCAATATAAATAAAATGAGAACACCAACAATGTAGTCTACGTGAATTAAATACGCATTATTAAGGATAACTTAAAAACCACTGGTCAGATCAAATTTATATGGGAACACAGGAAAAGCATCAGCTTTCAAACAAAAAATCATCATAATCAGTTCACCGAGAAAAAAGTTCTCAGGTAACACACAAAAACAAATACAGTCAATTTGAGTACCAACCTCTTCTTTTTTTAATTCGGTTAAAAACAAATGTAAGTGTTTCTTATATTAACGCGAACACTACACATTTAATAAAACTATTTATCCGACTGCGCGATGCAATGAAGGGTAATTTCGTTATCAGCCTCTACATGTATATATGTTTGTTCCTTTGTGATGCTATAGAGACCATACGCGTGGGCCGATTTTAAATATTCTTACGTCAGTCGATTTGCCTTAACCTTGTCAGTATCACTAAAGACATGACAGTAACAAAAATTCAATATGGCGACAACCAGACGCTATATTATTAAAAAGAAAAATGAAAGTTGATATTAAGTGGGGTATCATTGAATAGTTTTTGTAAATCATCTTTAAGTTTACCCAATCATTTTTCATTTTTAATACCATTTAGGATCTATAACGAATTAAAGTTAGTTCGCAAAGATTCTGACTAAAATTTTCAAAATTTAGAATAAAGCTGTGATAAATTACTTATATACAATCATATATGGATTGCCTCGTTGGTCTAGTGGTTGTAGATGTGCAACTGCTGATCATGAGGTCCTGGGTTCGAATCCCGGATCAGGCCAAAAATTTAATTATCGAGTTTTTCCGTCACGAAATTCTCAGTAGTTGGCCGGGCTCAGGAAGTTGGCGGTGTCTCACCCCGTGCCTCGGAAAGCACGTAAAGCCGTTGGTCCCGCGCCTGATCTCTCTCCGGTCGTGTCGGTTTACCGTCCCATCGGATTATGAGAGTGAGGGAATAGAGAGTGCACCTGTGCTTGCGCACTACACTTGGGCACTATAATCCTGTCCTGCGGCGATGACTAACCTCCGTTGAGGCAGGCCGCCGTGGCCGAAATTCGGTCTGGAGGACATTATTATTATTATTATCGTATAGTATACTTAGTCTTAAACTGTCCTCCGCGATTTCACCCGCGTGTAATTTAGGGTTTTAATTTTTTAGCGCGGATACCCGATTCTTTTTCTAAAATAAAAGTAGCCTAATTTATTCCATACCATTAGCTATCTGTCAGTAAAAGTCCCGTCAATATCGGTCCAGCCATTTCGGTGATTATCCGCAACAAACAGATAGACAGACAAAAATTTTAAAAATGTGTTTTTGTTATAAGTACCGTGTATACTTTCATATGCATTTAGTAAAAAGCTGTTATATTGACATTACAAACAGAAACTTCCATTTTATTTATTTGTATAGATTTTTACGCAGTAAGTCAGTAAGGATTTTTTAAAAGTTTATAAAACCATTAAAACGCGTTTAATTTCAATAATTTTTAATTTCCGACGGTTGTAAACACCAACGCTACGGGAAGTCTGCAGTTTGTGATCATATCCTAGACAGCCCACGCCACCAATCCCACAAATCCTCGCTAAAGAACATCAATTCATACCAAGGATGATACGTAAGGCTATTGAAATTAAAAACATAATAATTTCAATAGAGAAGGAGGCTGGGTACTACCACCTATTTGGAATCCTGTAATTAATAAAATCAAAACTAAACCCAAGCAATCACTGCAAGACTTCAAGATACAGTCAGCTCATTCTGCGTAGATTGGACCAAAATTAATAATTAAAAAGCTGTAGTTTCTCTGGGTTAACTTTAAGGAAACTCAAACACCTCAGTCCCCCGCGATCATGGGTGCTGCAAAGCACCCAATACATGGGGAGTTATGAGTAAAATTAAACGCGATGAAATCCGTAAAAATAATTTTACTCAATTGTAAAAACTAGTTAATTTTAAATTGCAATTTTAATAACAAACGAATGCTGATCAGGGAGACTTCTTGTGTTTTTCTATAAAAAAAATTCTCAACCGCAGCTCGAAGTCAAGAAGTTGGCAGTCACCCCCGTGCCTTAGAAAGCACGTAAAGCCGTTGGACCTACACAAGATCTCTCCGGTCGCGTCGGATTTTCCATCCCAACGCACTATGAGAGTGAGGGAATAGAGTGCACCTGCGCTTGCGCAAATACCTGTACTATAATACTGTCTTGCGCAGTTGACTGATCTCCGTTAAGATTTGCTGCCGTGATTGAATTTCGATCTGGAGAACATTATTAGGACATTTATTATTATTGTGGGCTGGTGCAGCTGGTATATGCCTGTATAAATATATAAAAGAAAATGATAATTTTCAATACAGAAAAATACATAGATAAATAAAATCCTAACCAGATGGAGCTTCCATCTGATTGGCAGGGGTGACCAAAACGACCAAAGGGTAAGGGGTGAGAGTGAAATAAATTATTATTAATAATAATAATACCTGAAGAAGCTTCATTATAATAAACATTGATACGCTCTAGTTGCAGCGGATTCTCTCCGTGATAATGTCCGGTGGGGCTAACACCATGCTCGTCCGATATGATCTCCCAGAACTGAAATTAACCAACACAAAATATTACAAAAAATAACATTTTCTTATAAAAAAAAGTGGCAAACGGGCACACAGTCCACCTAATGGTAAGTGGATGCTGTGACCCATATACATCCGTGTACATCCTCAATGTAAAATTCAGATGCATTGTCACCCCTAATTAGCCCTTAGGAAGGAATGCCTCGCAACTTGTGTCCAGTAAAAAGGATCTCTGGTAGTCCCACATTGACCATACAAAACACAGCAGCCTTAAGCTGCTATTTCGCACTGGTATTCTGTGAGAGCATGATCCTACCCTGGTCGGGCCACCAAATTCGTGCTTCAACCATAATAATAGCTATAGCAGCACCACCACATAAGAAAACATGCAGTAATTTCTTATATTTCACTGCATAATACTGCTGTGGTAGCTTAACTAAGTAAAGGAAATGAGAGGCCTTTGCTCATCAATGGGTTGTGTAGGCTGTAACTTTAACTTTAAACTTAAATAAAAAATTTACTTAATATGCAATTAATTTATCGTCCCGGCTTAAAATTAGTAATGCCGTATAATTTCAGTTTTATAATAGTTTGTCCCATGAAACTGATAAAAAAGTTGGCAACCCTACTTTATGTAGCAACCAATGGGTGTGGAATGTACAATGACAAATATAAAATAAACATCATTGTATGGTATTACTAACACGGGCTACTCCCGGCGTCAATTTTCTGTTCTATATTTAAAAGTAGCAATAATAGACCAACACAATTAAATTATACAAAAAATAGTTTTAAAAATTTTCCTTGTAATCTTCAACTTCAATGTATTGAAGGTCATTGAGCTCATGTTTACCAGAGCGCATAAGCGAAAGTGAATCATGTTTGGGTGAATGAGTGATTAGTCACCGTCTCACACTCTCATAGTAAAATGTCTTCCATGATCGTTAGTTCCATAGTTCCGAATAACTTCGATAAATTGCGGGGCAGACATTTATACCTACCTATTACATTTTCCCTCAAGTGTTATTTGAAGAAACCATACTAATGTCATGTAATAAATTTTCCGCAACCACACCCATACCTACTCAAGATTTTATAGCTTCTATGATATTTCTTATAAACTTTTTATCGGTTTATACTGTATGTAGACCTGTTGTTCATTGCCCTGGATATAGGTCAAATCTGTTAGGGAAATTAACCTTTGACCTATAAATACTACCATGCGTGGTGAAAGCCGATTACATTAAATAATCGATCTGGAAGAAGCTTTTTGTACTAGATTAAGACTATCCCTTTGAGATAACTTTTTAAATAATCATGTATAACTAAATGGAATCAATATAAACAATAGGAAGCACATGGTTTAGCGGAGAACTAAAAACTTATCACCAAAATTGATGGTGTATAAAAGAAGTAAAAACTATTTCTGATAATACACAACACATTTCTACTAATTCGGAATGAATTATTACGTTGTGCGTCGATTTAAAATATTTCATAGTTTCATACCTAATAAGACCTCGGTAGGTAGGTTATCTGTGAGTGAGCTATTGCGAAAGAGAGACAAAATAGGGTTTCATAACCCAAAAAAATATGTTATAATTGAAAGTAAAACCTTTGATCCGATTTGATTTCCACACTGACCAGCCTGTACATGCACAATCTCACGCATTTTGTAAAATACAACACACTCACTACTAACACTCTTAAAACACAATACTATTAACGAATTAACACATAATTCGTGAACACATACAGTATTTAAATCACAGTTTACGTTAAAGAGAGTATAATTTAAACTGTGCTTATATATATAGGAAAGGAAATTGTTAAGCCTTATCGAAATTTATCAACATTATCAACCCATTCCTACTAAAGGCTGGGCGAACACTGATAAAAAGCGAAGCGATCGGATTGGAGTTGTATTACCGTGGTTGCAGCAATTCGTTTTTATTTGGTGTCTGAACAGTCACTGCCTAAACGTAATATAGAAGAGACGGGATCATGCAATAATGGACCCAAAGACTACTATGTTATACGGAAAAATGGACCTTGTTAACAATCAAAATGTTGTTTTATTAGTTAGATAGGTACGTACGAGTTGGCTACTTGATTAAAAGTATTTTAGTAGATACCGGTTGTCGATATTTCTTTATAGTTTCTTAAATAAATTCGTGTATGTACCTACATTATGTATTATACCAAAGTTTTTACCTAAACGTTTTGAAAAATTTCACTACATTCTACAAGATTTATTTTACAGTAAGTCTTATTTTACTGTGTAATATTATGTACTACTCTTTGCTGCATACATAGTAAAACGAAATAATGTAATTAACAAATACTATTTCGTGTCTTATTTGATTGATTTTACGATATTAAATCTATTCTCTTTTCTTAAATCTGGTATCTTTACGGTATACATAACCCAAAAAATAACATAACCCCATCTTAACGGGGTTAGGGATTAGGGTGTGGTTAGGGAAAGCATATTTTTCAATGTTCCTTTTCACGCAATTTTTAGCTAGTAATTGTAGTATTTTAGAATATTCTTCTTATTTTAGAATACTCAATTGTGTATATTTATTATTAAATTGTAAATTGATATTCCGATAACATTTAACTTTTGACAGTTCAGCTCACACGGCACGGCACCAAGTGCCAATAATATAGTATTCATAATATTCAGTTTGTAGTTCTTCACTTGTTTATACAAAGATTTATAGTTATATTGTAAATTGATACTCTTATAACTCAGTTGTTGACTTTTTATTTCTTTTTAAAACTGTCAAAGGTCACAATCTACAAGATAGTAAGCAACTAGAACACTCGAAACAACAAAAAGAAGGTTAGAGATGCGTCATCCACTGAAATTCATATAAATTATTTCTGTACCATCATTATCTCTGAGGACTATGATGGAATCCTTCAGAGCCTGTATTTACACTGCCTCTCCCTGTAAACCCTTCACACAGCAGTGTATATACTGCAATTTAGCGTCAGGGATAAATAACAGGGTTCATCTAGTAACTGATTTATTTATATTTTAATAAAATTGTTTTCAATCAGAGAAATGTATAAACATATTTTCTTAATACTAGGTCAAAAAGAAATATTAATGGGAACTTGACCACAAACGGCACCTAATAACGTCAAAATAATGATAATGGTTGTTAGTAAGTTTACATTTGTGCAGGTGGTATGATTTTGTATACTGAACGTCTGGTATTGTGTATACGATGAAACAAATGTTTAAACTCGTCATAATATACTCTTTCTGTCGGGTTAGCCACCGTCAAAATTTATGTAAATCTATGCAATGTGATGCATTGAGGTATTGTGGAAAATTCCATATAAAATATGATGAAATAAATGTATATCACAGTGTTTCATGTGTTTTTAATCTGGAGTTCTTGTAGCTAATGCAATAATTTTAAAAATCAATAGGTCAGAAAGTTCGCCAGATTTAAAAGTATATCCCCGCACCCCAAAGTTGAAGACGAAGTGTATTAGTTTTTTTTTTATAAATATTTTTATATAAATATTTAGAGTTTCTACAAATACCTTTTTTGTTTTTACGACGTATTTTCGTCATTAACTATTTAAAATATATTTTGGCTCATGTTTGACAGTGAGAGTTTTGTTGGTAACTTAACCGCCGCTAAATTGCAGTTCGTGTATTATTATTTATTATTTATAATAAATAATATTGGATTTTACTACATAAACGTGGTACGATTTTGTGTATCAAATGTCTGCATATGTGAACTATGTATTAGTGGAAATAATAGTGAAGTGAAAAATGGTGCTCCAACAGTGATCAAAGTAGCGGTGGGTAGAAGCGGTTTTTTTGAGTAACGAAACGAAACTATCTATCGAATATCAATAGCGGCTTTTGAAACACTCTATTTTAATAGAGGGTTTTGAAACACTCTATTTAGTAATAGGGCTTCAATAGAGTGTTTCACGACGTGTTTAATTGAAAAACCCCGTTGCGAATGAAACAATTTCCGTTTCACGAGAAAATTGTGTGTTACCGTTCGTATAGAATTAGACATGGTGTTAATGGTTAAATTATATTTATTTGATTACTAATCATTTAAAACGCACGATTTGATAAAAATATCACTTGAAAAGATTTAACGGCAAACGATTTATTTAAGTAATTATGATTATGATAAATTCACCACAAGTTCACATAAAATATTGAATATAAGTTGATTTTATAGCAAATAATTATTAAAATGCTTATTTTTAGACATCTCAAGACTACATTTTTATGTAATAAATCAAATGAATACATGTATTGATGTTTTTATAGAATATTGGCCTTCATGGTTGTAGTATCTTTTGTAAAAAAGTCCCAAAGTACACTGGCATTACTTCGAGATATTTTTGAATACTATCACATAAAGTTTTAGTATTATTTTTACACTTAGTTACTTACACTAATTACTGTACAATTATTATTATTAATACTAATATATACAATTGTATTTAGTTCTTATTTTACTAAAGATATTATTATTATTGCACAAAAAGAAAACAAAAATATTAACAAACGCGCCTAAAAAGTAAAAACAAACCGCGTCATTAAACTTAAACACAAGACTAAAGCGCTTATTACATTATACAATTTTTAGGAAATCTAATTAGGAAATAGGAAGGTGTAATCGTAGTTAGAACAGTTAGGATCCGATTTAGTCAAATTGGAGGTCCCAATCGCTCATTGTTTACAATTTAGGACAGTGTAATCGCAACGTTACGATTTAGAACAACCAGTCGGTGCCCGCGCTTTGATACAAACGGATGTCTTGAAGTTTTGATAGAAGTCTGATATCAGAGATATTAATTTCCGGTGGCTATAAAACGTAATGTCACCATCAGACATTCTTTGGTACTCACACTTTATCGAAATATCGTGACTTCTTTTTCAATATGTTTGGATACCAAACTTAACAAATATTCAAACTGTTTATAGGTGGTAGAGCCATGCTGCAGTTATATTAGTAGTATAGTTGTAGCACGAATGGGTCGGCTCGACCGAGGAAGCACCACGCTCCCACAGAATACCAGCGTAAAATAGTAGCTTAATGTTGCTGTGTTTCGTATGGTGAGTGTAGAGAACCGGAGACCCTTTTTACTGGAAACGAGGCATTTCATCTTAGTCCTCACGGGTGACAATGCATCTGCATTTTGATTTGTAATCGGAGATAGATGTAGATGTCTACGGGCCGCAGCATCCACTTACCATCAGGTGGACTGTGTGCTAGTTTGTCACCCTATCTTATAGAAAAACTGCTTAGAATCTAAAAATATATAATTATATTCATATTGGACAGTTTTTTCTCAATGACAAGTTCTCTTTTTTTAATATCCATTGTTCCCACCATGGCTAAGGCAAGTCCTATTTTCTGCTGTTTTGGTAAATACGGCGCCATCGATCAAACGTGCAACCCCGTCGATACTTCTTTACGAATGCGGTTCGTCACGATTTAGAATTCAATTTAGTGTAGTGTGATCACTAGCTTCCAATTTAGGTTCCTAATTAGATTTCCTAAAAATTGTATAGTGTAATAAGCGCTTAATTTAAACCGGGCCAAGGCCACTTAAATTATGTAATTTGAACTATTTTTTGTTAAAAACGTGCACACTTACTTTCTCATTTCTAATATCGCATCTATACGAAGGGAATAGAGTCATAGGTCAAATGCAAAAGCACCCGCGCCCACTCGATATTCGACGACCGGTGGTACTTCTACCACAGCGTAAAGAGTCGGTTTCTTTACTCATGCGCTTCTACTTCAACAGCCGAAGCCGTCGCCGATGCGTCGCGAAAATAGCCGAATAAACGTTTTGTTATTGTTACTGATCGCTCGTTCATGATTCGTGAATCGTGTTACTGAGTAAAACATCTACTGTAATAGATAGTTTCGTTGCACTGCAATAACCCGCTACCCGCTATTGTGTGAATAGATAGTTTCAGTAACTAGTTACGTTTTGTAACGACCACTCCTAGATCAAAGTCTGTATAGTTTAGCCCACTCGACGTGGTTTTAATATAATTTGAGTAAGGCAATACTTAAATTAATCAAATTCTTAAATAAAGGTTATGATTTACTCATATGTGGTCATATTTACTAGTTTTTGTTGGTGTAGGATAGTTAGCCAAACCCCCATGCAAGTAATAATGTACTAACGAAAGTAGACTTAATATGTATGATTATCATATATAATAAATAAAATCAGGTCATAAATTACGTATATATCTTGGATATTCACTAACATTTAAAAGGCACAGAGTTTAATTCTTACGTATTTAAACCAAAGACAAATATATAAATCGTAAATTTGAATTTATGTTACAAAAATTATAATAAAGAACTTAACTAAAATAATAATTAAAATTATAATATTTACGATTAAAACTAATTATATACAATATAAAAGAAGAAACTATAATATAGAAAATCTAAAACTAAAATTTAAATCGACAAAAAGATCTGCTCCCCGTGATATAGTGGCTAGAACGCTGGCAGCGTTTCCTCGCGGAATAGCTATACTTAGCCTTTGAGCGAGGAAAGAATTAAATAATTAAATATTTAATTAATTAAAGAATTAAATATTTTTACGATATTTAACTTTTTGCCTAGAGAGAGTTAGGCTGTTGGG